CAGCCCGTGCTTTAACCACGACGCTACCCCATTGACCCCACTTTAAATACTTGGGGTGAATAAGTAATCTTTGCTTTATGTTCAGACGTATAGCATGATATACATGCACTGTTTCAATAAACAGTTGCCAAGGAAACAGACTTACCATCTTCCACCTGAAATAAAAGAAAGTTTCAAAACAAAGAGGAATGTTCAATATTCTTTGTTGCTTTGTATATATCCATTGTAAGTATATATCCATTGCGTTTACCTCATTTGTAAGTGAGGGGGAATGGATGCACCGGAGCCTCATCCAGCTTCGTGTCGACCAATGATTGAAGGGAGACCACTCTTGTCGGCTTAGTAGCGAGTTAAAAGCGCGGATTTAGAGGAATCTACCCGCTTGTCCTTTCGCGACAGTGATGAGTGCAGCTGTCCCGGCAAACTTAAATGTACATCAGCCACACACCGGCAGACCATTCCCGGCTGAGACGATGTGTACTGGCCAGCAATTAAATATATTCAGCAGTTAACCAGTTACATGGAATACTCGGGGTCCAAATAAATTCAACCTGCCCTTCTTTTTATCACCGACGGGAACCATGACGACGGCCGCTACACCAGGATCTGCTTCCTTTTCTAAAGTAGTTTGCTTTATGTCTTTCTGTCCCTATTGTTCATGATGTTCGATACTTCCCTCTTGTCACAATATATATTCTTACATTCAGAACCATGCACTTGAAGATACAAATGGTCTGTCATTTTTAAGGGTTGACTGCAGGAGTTTATACTGCAACTTCTGTTTCTGGGATGACTATATACGAAACAGCAAATAAAAAAAAAGGGAATCTGAAACACTTTGGATTGAAAATGAATGCTCAAAGTTTTCTATTTTGCACTAATATTAACTTTTGAGAGTGAGTGTTATATTTTTGTCAGCCCATGGGTCCGATTTGGTGGTTAACTACCGTATATCCGACTAATGAATATGCTGGCAATGGCCGGAAAGCTAAAAATCGCCATGTGTTTGGCCCTATGACATGCAACTACAGCCGGCAGATTGTCCTTACCGGAAATGGACGATGACGCCTCGTTTTGACGTCGTCTCCATACTAGTTACCGTTGTCGTTGCCAACGGCCCCTCTGTTTTTAACAGAATCGCCATTGCTCTTACTGGCTATCGCTCTGCATTTCGTTGACTACAGCATCGTTTCAAGATCTTCTACTGACAAGATGTTTACAAGGCTGCATATTCAAGGTATTTAAGAAGACAGTTATTGTATTTTAACGTGTGAAGGGCGTAGATTTAGACTGGAATTGGCCGCAGTTTGACAGCAGTATCGATAGTGATGACATTTGTACATGGCCGCCATTTGCAATTTTTACTCAAATTCAGTAATGTCTTTATTTTACTTGGCCTTTTTTGTGCTTGAAATGTAAACTTTCCGTGCATACATATGACAGGGGATAATGCAAAATCATTTCAGATATATTTTATGTACATTAGACTTTTTAAAAGTATTTCTGACCTGTAGACTACTACGGCCTACATTGACATGGTTAAAAGATGCATTTTGTAAGGAAACAATGAACGTGTGTCCCTATGTCTGTTCATAAAAATGCTAAGGGGTAAATAAGAATGTCTGCCGGGATGTATATATCTATATTTGTAGGCTAGGGGGACCATGTTGCCTTCTCCTCAAGGTGAAAACGCTCTAAATTGAGTAGCTTTGTACTATCAAAAGAGTCTCTATTGGCCGATGTCCTAACATGTGCAATCCGCCTATCTGGAAGAACGACTATCTCGCTATATTTTGAACTTAAACATGTTAAAGGTTGTGTTGTACATGTAGTTATTGTGTATATGATTGTGCTGTTTGGGTTATTTTCAGCACGGGAAGACTTGATCCGGTATCATGTCACTCCTGCTGCTAGTCTATGGCCGTCGCTGGATGAGGAATCCGACTGTGTATGTACATCCTATCTACACCTGCTTCCTATTGGGCGGAATAGCTTGCTTCTTTTGTCTATGAGCCAGTGATCTCTTACACGTGCTACTGCACTGCACACTTTCCCCTGTCTGTTATGGTGTCCTGAAAATAGCCCCCTCACACCCCTCTCTCATGTACACATTAACATTATTTTTCATGTGTAATCTGGGACTATGACTATGACTTTCTTTTGCCTTATTCAACTCTAAATAAAAGCCTCCTATAACCTCCTTTAAATGTCCCTCCTTTCTCCCTCCCTCCCCACTAACCGATGTAGCGTCCCCAGGCTGCTTCCCCGACCCCTTCACATGACCCCCTGAGTGTTTTCACCCCATTCTGGGCCCGCCCTGACCACGGTGAGACGCTCCCCGCCCCAGTCACCATCACCTACGTCGACCACTATCCTGCCCCAAGTGACGACGACAGTGACTACTGGGTCTATGAAGACGAGGACGAGGACAGTTTCGTGGAGGACCGAGAGGTTCATCCTGTGAGGAAGGCGCTGAGGAGAGTGGGTGCCTTCTTTAGGAGAATCTTCTCGTAGATTTCTCATCCAGTATGTGTGTTGTGTACGTGCGTGCGTGCGTGCGTGTGTGTGCATGCAGGTTAAAGTGTATACATGTGGGAGGGTGTGTATTGTATGAACGTTTGAGTGTGTGTATATCTTAGAGGTTGTATAAGCATAACTGGATGTAGGTGTCAGGTGTGTTTTGCTTTTGTAAATTGGTGCATGTGTGTGAGAGATGTGTTTTGTATGTGGTGTGTATGTGTGTGTGTGTGTGTGAGAGAGAGAGAGAGAGAGAGAGAGAGAGAGAGAGAGAGAGAGAGAGAGAGAGAGAGAGAGAGAGAGAGAGAGAGATTGCATTTTTGCATGCGTGTATGTGAACACGATGTGTTTTGCATGTGTGATCGGGTGTATGTGTGAGGGTGTATCCGTTAATGTGCGAGAGGTGTGTTTTGCATGTGTGAATGTGTGAGGGTGTATCTGTGAGTGTGTGAGAGGCGTTTTGCATGTAGGTGTGGGTGGATGTGTGAGAGGTGTGTTTTGCATGTGTGACGTTTTCGTGACTGAGTGTGTTTGTGTGGTAAGATGTTTTGTGGTGCCTTTTCCCTTTGGTCTGATTTGGCTACATATTTCGGCCTATTTCTGGACACACCCTTTCGGCCTAGTAATCAATGTTTTGGCATACCCTTCTCTGGCATTTCTTTATTCCCTTCTTGACTGTGCCTCCCTTTCGGCCCCGATTTTGGTGCTTTTGGCACGTACCATTCTATTTCTTGGTGGAACCTTAATAAATATAAATGAATGGTATACACATGAGTCTGTTGTCCTTCCTTTAGTAGATTTATTAACGACTAGGTGACAGCAACACAGCAGTAGAGGCAGCTGACCAGAATCTGGCATGGAACTATCTTGAAAATGTAATACAGAGGAAACTAGTTTACAAATGAACATGTTCAGGGCATTTGTCCTCAACCGCTGTGTTGCCGTCTTCTAGTCCATCCTTCACAATCTGAATGTGCAATGGAAACGAGCAAAGCGAGGATACAGCTGGGAATATGCTGTACACCTGGCGTACATGTCTCAGTTATATCATGTACAAAATGAACATGTAAACCAGCTGATTCAACCAACAGCTAGGTTAATTAGCGTTTATCTGATATGTTAGTGTGGGTTATGAATGCACTGGCGCCTCATCCGCTGTGTTTCTGTCTTCAAGCCCAGTCTTTACAATCTAAATCTGCAATGGCAAACCCCAAGTGTATATGCACATGGGTAGTCCTAAGAGTACAAGCTGATAATCATCGGAACGCTGGGTATTTTACGATCACTTCGCTCACTTTAGGTCACAGCACACCTGACAGGCGATGAAGAGTGGTCTCCCTTCCCTCTTTTGAGTGTTTTTGTATCGAGGAGTCTTTGGACATTTCTAAATTGTCTAATATCGACAGCAGTACAGTGCTGTTCGTCTGGCGGTCATTTTCAGTCCAGGTCGACACGCAGTAGAAGCTGAGACTTCGGCATCTCAGCCCGTGCTTTAACCACGACGCTACCCCATTGACCCCACTTTAAATACTTGGGGTGAATAAGTAATCTTTGCTTTATGTTCAGACGTATAGCATGATATACATGCACTGTTTCAATAAACAGTTGCCAAGGAAACAGACTTACCATCTTCCACCTGAAATAAAAGAAAGTTTCAAAACAAAGAGGAATGTTCAATATTCTTTGTTGCTTTGTATATATCCATTGTAAGTATATATCCATTGCGTTTACCTCATTTGTAAGTGAGGGGAATGGATGCACCGGAGCCTCATCCAGCTTCGTGTCGACCAATGATTGAAGGGAGACCACTCTTGTCGGCTTAGTAGCGAGTTAAAAGCGCGGATTTAGAGGAATCTACCCGCTTGTCCTTTCGCGACAGTGATGAGTGCAGCTGTCCCGGCAAACTTAAATGTACATCAGCCACACACCGGCAGACCATTCCCGGCTGAGACGATGTGTACTGGCCAGCAATTAAATATATTCAGCAGTTAACCAGTTACATGGAATACTCGGGGTCCAAATAAATTCAACCTGCCCTTCTTTTTATCACCGACGGGAACCATGACGACGGCCGCTACACCAGGATCTGCTTCCTTTTCTAAAGTAGTTTGCTTTATGTCTTTCTGTCCCTATTGTTCATGATGTTCGATACTTCCCTCTTTGTCACAATATATATTCTTACATTCAGAACCATGCACTTGAAGATACAAATGGTCTGTCATTTTAAGGTTGACTGCAGGAGTTTATACTGCAACTTCTGTTTCTGGGATGACTATATACGAAACAGCAAATAAAAAGGGAATCTGAAACACTTTGGATTGAAAATGAATGCTCAAAGTTTTCTATTTTGCACTAATATTAACTTTGGAGAGTGAGTGTTATATTTTGTCAGCCCATGGGCCCGATTTGGTGGTTAACTACCGTATATCCGACTAATGAATATGCTGGCAATGGCCGGAAAGCTAAAATCGCCATGTGTTTGGCCCTATGACATGCAACTACAGCCGGCTGATTGTCCTTACCGGAAATGGACGATGACGCCTCGTTTTGACGTCGTCTCCATACTAGTTACCGTTGTCGTTGCCAACGCCCCTGTGTTTTAACAGAATCGCCATTGCTCTTACTCGCTATCGCTCTGCATTTCGTTGACTACAGCATCGTTTCAAGATCTTCTACTGACAAGATGTTTACAAGGCTGCATATTCAAGGTATTTAAGAAGACAGTTATTGTATTTTAACGTGTGAAGGGCGTAGATTTAGACTGGAATTGGCCGCAGTTTGACAGCAGTATCGATAGTGATGACATTTGTACATGGCCGCCATTTGCAATTTTACTCAAATTCAGTAATGTCTTTATTTTACTTGGCCTTTTGTGCTTGAAATGTAAACTTTCCGTGCATACATATGACAGGGGATAATGCAAAATCATTTCAGATATATTTTATGTACATTAGACTTTTAAAAGTATTTCTGACCTGTAGACTACTACGGCCTACATTGACATGGTTAAAAGATGCATTTTGTAAGGAAACAATGAACGTGTGTCCCTATGTCTGTTCATAAAAATGCTAAGGGGTAAATAAGAATGTCTGCCGGGATGTATATATCTATATTTGTAGGCTAGGGGGACCATGTTGCCTTCTCCTCAAGGTGAAAACGCTCTAAATTGAGTAGCTTTGTACTATCAAAAGAGTCTCTATTGGCCGATGTCCTAACATGTGCAATCCGCCTATCTGGAAGAACGACTATCTCGCTATATTTTGAACTTAAACATGTTAAAGGTTGTGTTGTACATGTAGTTATTGTGTATATGATTGTGCTGTTTGGGTTATTTTCAGCACGGGAAGACTTGATCCGGTATCATGTCACTCCTGCTGCTAGTCTATGGCCGTCGCTGGATGAGGAATCCGACTGTGTATGTACATCCTATCTACACCTGCTTCCTATTGGGCGGAATAGCTTGCTTCTTTTGTCTATGAGCCAGTGATCTCTTACACGTGCTACTGCACTGCACACTTTCCCCTGTCTGTTATGGTGTCCTGAAAATAGCCCCCTCACACCCCTCTCTCATGTACACATTAACATTATTTTTCATGTGTAATCTGGGACTATGACTATGACTTTCTTTTGCCTTATTCAACTCTAAATAAAAGCCTCCTATAACCTCCTTTAAATGTCCCTCCTTTCTCCCTCCCTCCCCACTAACCGATGTAGCGTCCCCAGGCTGCTTCCCCGACCCCTTCACATGACCCCCTGAGTGTTTTCACCCCATTCTGGGCCCGCCCTGACCACGGTGAGACGCTCCCCGCCCCAGTCACCATCACCTACGTCGACCACTATCCTGCCCCAAGTGACGACGACAGTGACTACTGGGTCTATGAAGACGAGGACGAGGACAGTTTCGTGGAGGACCGAGAGGTTCATCCTGTGAGGAAGGCGCTGAGGAGAGTGGGTGCCTTCTTTAGGAGAATCTTCTCGTAGATTTCTCATCCAGTATGTGTGTTGTGTACGTGCGTGCGTGCGTGCGTGTGCGTGTGCATGCAGGTTAAGGTGTATACATGTGGGAGGGTGTGTATTGTATGAACGTTTGAGTGTGTGTATATCTTAGAGGTTGTATAAGCATAACTGGATGTAGGTGTCAGGTGTGTTTTGCTTTTGTAAATTGGTGCATGTGTGTGAGATGTGTTTTGTATGTGGTGTGTGTGTGTGTGTGTGTGTGAGAGAGAGAGAGAGAGAGAGAGAGAGAGAGAGAGAGAGAGAGAGAGAGAGAGAGAGAGAGAGAGAGAGATGCATTTGTGAGAGATGAGCGTTTATGTGAACACGATGTGTTTTGCATGTGTGATCGGGTGTATGTGTGAGGGTGTATCCGTTAATGTGCGAGAGGTGTGTTTTGCATGTGTGAATGTGTGAGGTGTATCTGTGAGTGTGTGAGAGGCGTTTTGCATGTAGGTGTGGGTGGATGTGTGAGAGGTGTGTTTTGCATGTGTGACGTTTTCGTGACTGAGTGTGTTTGTGTGGTAAGATGTTTTGTGGTGCCTTTTCCCTTTTGGTCTGATTTGGCTACATATTTCGGCCTATTTCTGGACACACCCTTTCGGCCTAGTAATCAATGTTTTGGCATACCCTTCTCTGGCATTTCTTTATTCCCTTCTTGACTGTGCCTCCCTTTCGGCCCCGATTTTGGTGCTTTTTGGCACGTACCATTCTATTTCTTGGTGGAACCTTAATAAATATAAATGAATGGTATACACATGAGTCTGTTGTCCTTCCTTTAGTAGATTTATTAACGACTAGGTGACAGCAACACAGCAGTAGAGGCAGCTGACCAGAGTCTGGCATGGAACTATCTTGAAAATGTAATACAGAGGAAACTAGTTTACAAATGAACATGTTCAGGGGCATTTGTCCTCAACCGCTGTGTTGCCGTCTTCTAGTCCATCCTTCACAATCTGAATGTGCAATGGAAACGAGCAAAGCGAGGATACAGCTGGGAATATGCTGTACAAATGGCGTACATGTCTCAGTTATATCATGTACAAAATGAACATGCAAACCAGCTGATTCAACCAACAGCTAGGTTAATTAGCGTTTATCTGATATGTTAGTGTGGGTTATGAATGCACTGGCGCCTCATCCGCTGTGTTGCTGTCTTCAAGCCCAGTCTTTACAATCTAAATCTGCAATGGCAAACCCCAAGTGTATATGCACATGGGTAGTCCTAAAAGTACAAGCTGATAATCATCGGAACGCTGGGTATTTTACGATCACTTCGCTCACTTTAGGTCACAGCACACCTGACAGGCGATGGAGAGTGGTCTCCCTTCCCTCTTTTTGAGTGTTTTTGTATGGAAGAGACTTTGGACATTTCCATATCGACAGCAGTACAGTGCTGTTCGTCTGGCGGTCATTTTCAGTCCAGGTCGACATGCAGTAATTAGCGACTTGTTTGATGCTGGGGCAGTTAAGGCACTCATTCATATTTAGATAAATATACATATACAATTTGAGAAAGCAGACAAGGTTGGGGTGATGTTTAAAACATGTAAATCAACGTACACGGACTGTCAATTTGACCAGACCCAGTCTCCCTTTGAATGTGTAGACACAAATCATAATTTCCCCATGTATATACATGCAAGTATGTCTGGTGTCAAATGGTCAGTGAGTGTCTGTTGCTCTTAGCGTTAGAGCGGCGTTGTTGTTTGGGAGTGACAACGCCGAGAATATCATCTCAGCCAGTGTTTTTACCCCTATTGCCCCCTTATGTCACATCGTGTTCAAAATAAGTATGGAAACTAACAGATTCAGCCATCGAGTTATAATGAACTTGAATAACACGTGTAAGTGTGGGGAAAAGATGGAGTAACGCGTTATCGGGCGTCTTCCCGATCAATGATTATAGGGAGACCACTCTTGTCAGCTTATTACCGCGTGTTTATTAACGCTGAGTTAGCAACTCAAGTAAAGTAAAGTCAAAATTTATTCTCATGAGACATATACATGACATAGAGTAAAACAAATATACGTGCAAAACAATGAAACACACACATATTACATTAACAGAGCGTACGCAAGGCCCATTTCACAAAAAGAGCAAGTTTAACAGGTATTTGTTTGTATGTGATAGACATAAGTGAAATATAAGTCAAATATATTTATCAACAGTGGGATGTTTACAATAATATGCAGGGAGATATTTGTTTCGTAAGTTGTTTAACTCATTGGATTCTAACAAAGTGAAATTCACCCCCAATTTTACTCTTGCATGATGTACACAATCTATTTTCTTTATCAATTTTATGCCATCTGCCAGTTTCGATAGGGAGTTTGTGGTTACAAGTTCTAAGTTTTGTAGTATAAATACGTAAATCTAGTGGAAGTTGCAACAAATATGTTTCAATATAAAGATTATCCTTAAACATATTGTAATATCGGCATTTCGATGATTGTGATTTACGTTCTCTCTAAGTTTTTAGAAACTGATCAACGAGTACAGACTTAACATTATTTACCAGCCAATGGGTACTCTGAAATACTTGTAATTGCCAAATGTAACTAAAGCCTGTATTCTCTAAGACAGATTTTACTTCCGCTATTAGCGGATATTTAGCATTTGCCTGAGAATTGTGCAAACTGAACATTAATTTATACATTACTTTTGATAGTTTACCACGAGATAATAATAATTTACACCAATATGATGACATTCTCAATTTGATAGAAATACTAAGTGGATATCTTCCAAGTTCACCGTAAACCATAAAATCTTGGGGGTGTTGTTTTAGCTTCAATATGTATTTACAAAATTTCAAATGAATACGTTCTAATTGAATAGTGTTTTCGTAGCCCCACACCTCAGCACCATACAATAAAATAAGCTTAACAAGTTGATCAAAAAGTTAAAGTTGGCAGTCGACCGGTATACTTAAATAACTTAACTTAACTTTTCTTAATATAGCAAAAATTGCACGAGAAGACTGGTCAGAGAGACGTTTAATGGCCTTTACAAAAGCGACCAGTGTTTGTGAATAGTACACCAAGATAAACATAATATACATACCTCTAAAACAGCATTCTGCAGAAGAAATAAAGTACTAATTTTACTACTTCTTTTGGAAAAAAATCAAAACTTGAGTTTTAGAAGTGTTTACTGTTAGTTTCCATCGTGTACAATAAGCATCAAAAGTTTCCAAACAAAGTTTCAAATCAGAAGATTCAGATAAAAGTACCGTATCATCAGCATAAAGAATTACCAATAGCTTAATGAATATGCCAATTTCTTTTAGTACATAAGCATTTACAAATTCCAAACCAGTTACGTTATTTGATAGAAAAGTTTCCAAATCATTTAAATAAAGAGCAAACAGAAATGGAGATAATATTTCGCCTTCTCTAACACCCGTATTACAAGGGAAGAATGCGAGTTCAGCAATCCCAGCAAACTATTTAGTTAATTGGATTTAATTGCTGGCAAAAACATTTCTTATCACACGGTCAAGCTCAAGCCGAAGCTCCAACACCACGGCTACCGGACTATTGAAATATAAAAACAACATATTTTAATGACACTCATGCAGTACTTTCTCAGGATTAAACATGAAAAATAAAATCAACGCTTAATAGAAATCGTTCTATAAATAAGAATAAAGGGCAGTCATTTGTGGGTTGTTAGCGTGTGTTATCCACCATTACAAGTGCAATAGACACATTGTATACAGTGAGTGAGTGAGTGAGTGTCTTTAGCTCCTCCAAACTTGGTGAGGTGAGGTGAAATTGGGTTTAACGTCGTACTTGAAAATATTTCGCTCATATGACGACGTGAGTGAGTTTAGTTTTACGCCGCACTCCATATCCATATCCAGCAATATTCCAGCTATATGGCGGCGGTCTGTAAATAATCGAGCCTGGACCAGACAATCCAGTGATCAACAGCATGAGCATCGATCTGCGCAATTGAGAACCGATGACATGTGTCAACCAAGTCAGCGAGCCTGACCACCCGATCCCGTTAGTCGCCTCTTACGACAAGCATAGTCGCCTTTTGTGGCAAGCATGGGTTGCTGAAGACCTACGGGTCCATATGACGACGTGCCTGCGTGTGTGTGTAGGTGCGACTGCTTGTACTAGCTCAGACTGAAGCTGCTTTTATAGTACTAGCCCACTGAAATACCATGCCGCAGTGAAGCATGAATACCCCAGAGGGGTGTCTGCACAGGACGTCGACCTTTGGGGGAATTGTCACGGTTCAGGTAAGAAAAAAGGTCGACGTCCTGTCCATTTGACATTATACCAATCAACTGGGGATTAAAAAAGACAGAAATAATCCAGTGTTTACACAAGGTGATAATCCGGATTGTGCGGTTGAAAGCACAGACAACAGGAGAAAAGTATTATATTTCGTCCATTTTATTTCTGATTCGAAATCATCCCACATGAAGCAGGTGAGATGCAGCATCTGCAAAATCTCTGGTGTTGATGAGGCCATTCCTAAGATCATGTTTTAGGACGCCCAGGCGACGTTCCAAATCCCTGTACTTCTTTTTCTTCAAGGGACGTTTTTGTCCACCGCCGAACTGCAACAG